TTAAAAGTATAACTAACTAATATATATATAATGGATAAATAAGAAGTGTATACTGTACGGCACAGGGAACTATATTCAGTATCTTGTAGTAAATTATGGTAAAAAAGAGAAAATGAATATATGTATGTTCCTATATGACTGAAGCATTATGCTATACACCAGAAATTGACACAACATTATAAACTACTATACTTCAATAAAAATTTTTAAAAATTAGAAAAAATAAAAAATAAAAAACACAAATAATACCTCTTGAATTTAGAAACGTTATAAGCTCAAAATTGCTTAAATACTTAAACATAAGACAAGACGCTATAAACTTCCTAGAAGGAAACATAGGCAAGGCATTCTCTGACATAAATATTAGCAATGTTTTCCTAGGGCACTCTACCCAGGCAGTAGAAATAAAAGTAAAAATAAACAAATGGGACCTAATTAAATTCATAAACTTTTGCTCAGCAAAGCAAACTATAAACAAAATGAAAAGAGAAGCTATAGAATAGGGGAAAATATTTGCAAATGATGAGACTGACAAGGGTTTGATTTCCAGAATATATACAAAGCTTATATAACTCAATAACACAAAAACAAACAACCCAATTAAAAAAAAAATGGGCAGAAAACCTAAACAAACATTTCTCCACTGAAGAAACACAAATGGCTGATAAGGACATGAAAAATGCTCAATATCACTAATTATCAGAGAAATGTAAATCAGAACTACAATGAGGTATCACTTCACACCCAACAGAATGATCATGATTAAAAAGTCCATAAGTGATAAATGTCAGACAGGATGTGGAGAAAAGGGAACCCTTCTACGCTGCTGGTGGGAATGTAGTTTGATGTAGCCATTATAGAAAATAGTATGGAGATTCCTCAAAAAACTAAAAATAGACTTACCTTATGATCATACAGTAATCCCACAGCTGGGCATATATCCAGAGGAAACTCTAATTCAAAAAGATACATGTACCCCAATATTCATAGTGGCATTAGTTACAATAGCCAAAACATGGAAGTAACCTAAATGTTCATGGACAGATGGTAGGATAAAGAAAGAAGCTCTGTGTGTGTGTGTGTATATATATACACACAATGGAATACTACTCAGCCATAATAAAGAGTAAAATAATGCTACTTGTACCAACATGGATGGACCTGGATACTGTTATACTAAGTGAAGTAAGCCAGAAAGAGAAAGAAAAATACTATATGATACACACTTATATGTGGAATCTAAAAAAAAAATGATACAAATTAACTTATTTACAAAGCAGAGACAGATTCACAGACATAGAAAACAAACTTGTGGTTACCAGTGGGGAAAGAGGGTGGGAAGGATAAATTGGGAGTTCAGAATTTGCAGATACTAACTACTACATATAAAACAGATAAACAACAAGATCCTTCTGTATAGCACAGGAGACTATATTTAATGCCTTGTAATAACCTATAATGAAAAATAATATGAAAAGGAATATACATATATGCATAACTGAATCACTATGTTGTACACCAGAAAGTAACACAACACTGTAAGTCATCTATCCTTCAATAATATAAAATAAGTATTATTTAAGAAAAACACAAAGATTTTAGTATATCTTTAAATCTTTTCAAGAATGCCAGTAGGGTGTATCTTTATTTCTTTTTTTCCATCTCTACCATTTATATTTATTATTAGTATTATTTTTTGCTTTCATTATTTTCAGTGTCCTTTTGTGATTTTTCCCTGCCCTATATACTATGTCTCTAGAATGTTTTGGAAAAATTTATTCTATTCTGTAAATCACTTCTCTAATATATTTTTTAGACATGATTATGTTACTTAATAAAATAAACATTTCTGCAATGTGCTAATATTTATTTGTATTTATCCTTCTTTTCTGAGGTTAGCTTCTGAGTCTCCATTATTTATATGCAATCCTTGAAAGAGCATGGATCTTTTTTTGTGTGTGCTTTTGAAAAACCAAAACTATGTTGACTATAATTTACTTGGGAGGATGGGGAACTATTTATCTGAGATCATTCCATATTTTCTTGAGTAATTCTTCTTTTGCTACGTGTTCTAGCACTCTTCTGTTTGTGTTCATTTCCTCCACTTCCTCCCCAGTCTATGCATAGATCCCATGAATGGCTTTGTTGAACCTTATTTAACTGTGAGTGGAAGGATGAGGATGTTGATTTTGACAAGTGGATTGGAGCCATCAGCATATTTAATTTGTGTCTTTTGTCTCTCCATCTGTTAGGTAGTTAAATACATGGGGCCACTGGGCAGTTAAGGTGGAGGAGAGGGAGGATGATCCAGAAGATGGCAGTATACCACCTCCAGCAAAGGGACTTTACTTGTAAATGAGTGCCAGGAAGAAACCAGTTAGAACCTGACAGCTCCAACTGCATGGTAGCCAGAAGGACTTAACTGGACATTTTATAATATAATTAACTCTGCAGTGTAGGCCCCTCTGTGAGTTTTGTACACCATGGTAAGGACATGCGCAAAGAGGGCAAACATCACTGAGCATTCCAGGGGCAAGGGCCATCAATCAATCAAAGACCACCTCTAAGGGAAAGGTGAGACAAAGGCCACATTTCCCTGCCTGGGATCAGCTCGCTTCCCAATCTTCAAGGTGCGCTTTTCCTTTTCTAAATAAATTATTTAAAATCTAACACTACACAACATACCGTCTCCCTCCAAAATCTTGCCTTTTGGGTATGACAAGAACTGGAGTCTTATTCCTTTTCCTTTTGGGTAACACATCTACCTTAGTGTGTGTGTGTGTATTTAGTTGTCACCTTAGTTTTTCAAACAACTTATGTCCTTCCATGGCCATTGACCTTCCAGTTAGGATCTTATGGTCCTTATATTCCTTTTTTTTTACCCCCAAAGCAGTGTCCCAGAGCAGAGAGGCTATAGTGAAGAATTAGGGCAATGTACTTGCCATCTGGAGAAATATTTGCAGCTCTCTAACAATCTCTCTCACTTGGTGTGGGCTTCACAAGTTTGGAAGATATGTTTTATAATTTTGACTATACCTGTTTTTAAGTTTTCTGTTATTTTTAATTGTTTTTTTAAGAATAAAAGTCAATTTTAAAAGCCTATATGAAATGATTCTCCAGCAAATTAAATTAATCCATAAATTCTATAGATATTGTAAATGGGGCATGTAGAAATCACACACTACTAAAACAATCCTCTCCATGAAGAGACTTAACAACAGAGGTACTAATGGTGCATAATGCAAAAAACTATTGTTCACCTTACTTTTAGCCACTTTAGAATAATTTCCTTATTTTATTAGACACATGCTAACTGAACATCTCTATTTGTCATGCCCTCCACTAGCTTCTGTGTAAGTCACTAAGATGAATGAAGCAGAGATCCTAAACTCTAGGGATTTAAAATGTCCTTTTAGGGAAATTATTGTTAATAATATGTCTATGGAGGGAATGTTATTGTTTTTAGGTTAAGAAGAAAGGAAGAGTTTTTGTCACCGAGGGTTTTGCTTACGGCTTAAGCTTAAGAAAAAGAATTTATATCACAAATGATGTCACTGATGACATAGACAGATATAAAACAAAGTCAGGATAGAATGGAGACTTGAGAAAACAGTAGAGACGCAACAATAAGATACTTACATGTACTAGAAACATTCTCAGTGTAGTAAGGCCCACTGTCTACTAGAAGGGTGTCATATAGGAGGAAATCAGAGCCAAAGAACCACAGGGAGATGAGTGCACAGGAATGGGGACTTGACACATGAGGGACAGGGTGGATGGAGATTTGGAAGGACACCAAAATTACACAGCAAGGTGAGTGAAATTAAGAACACTTGCCAGTAACTGGGAGTAATAGCCAGACTGTGTCACAGTTATTTAATCAAATAACATGTGGACCCTGTGTAAAAATAGTTTCCAATAAGTGTTTCAATATCAAGTCAAATTTCAAAAGATGCCTGTTAATCTCCCCTCACCCTTCCCACCAAAAAAAAAAAAAAAACCTCTCCAAAATAAATAAATAAAAGAAAGGAATTTAATGAATAAACTACTGCAACGTTTCTTAAAGATTTCCCTCTCATTCTCTCAGTACTTAAGATAAATGTCTTCCTCACCCTCTTTTGACTTCCCAAATCTTCCTGCAGTTTTCAGTGATCCGTGGGTCTTGTCTGTCCCTGCTGGTTCCTTGCCTTCCCACCCTATCCTCTCCCACTGTGAGTTCCTCTCTGCAATGAAAATTGAACTCTTGTCCAAAACTCTGGCACTTTGTTTAGTTCATTAACTTTTTTAGCAAAATAAAGTTCAGGACAGACTCCAGCATCAAAGATATCTTGGCAGCTGAGGGGGAAAAGCATTTCAGTGTTGTTGGTCCTGTGTCACGGAGGTTAGCAGTGTTTCTAAAACTGGTCTCTTGAAACCCAGGTTTTCAATGATGCCTTTTTTATTTTGACCAAAATATTAATATGTGCACATTCTGAATTATCGGCGCATCTTGCTAACCAAATAGTGACCTGTACTTTCATCCACTATTTTCATTTGTGTTAATTGTTCATGGCTGATTTTCATAGCATAATGAGAAAAGAAGTGATCTTACATGTAACTGATGCTTTCCTGCCACACAGAAGCTAAATGATGCATCAGCAGGGCCCTCAGGTTGTTCAAGACTGGGAAATATTGGTGTAATCAGTTTTCACTATCCCCCTGTGTGTTTTTTAGAAGTTATGAATGATTAGACTATAGATTTCAATTTTGAATATTAAAAATGTTTAATGTCACTTGCATGTTTTCTTGTTAAACGGAAAACATAACAAAGAGAGGTAAAACAGTGTGTGCAGACGTACATGTGCACATATGTAGAACTACCATTATCCATGTGTCATGTTCAGACATTCATCAAGCTTGATCTAAAGGTCAAGTAATTTAACCTTTTCACCTTTTCTATCCTGTCTTCCCACCCTCCATCCTTACTTATCTTTTTGTTTCAGTTAAGAGTGGTCTAAGGCTCGCTTAGGCAGCACGTATACTAAAAATGGAACAATACAGAAAAGATTAGCATGGTCCCAGCCAAAGGATGACACACAAATTTGTGAAGTATTCCATGTTTTTAGTTTAGCAGAAACGAACTACTGTATACAGAACAGATAAATAATGAAGTCCTACTATACAGCACAGGGAACTATATTCAATAACCTGTAATAACCCATAATGAAAAAGAATATATATGTATAATTGAATCACTGTGCTGTACACCAGACTAACACAACATTGTAAGTCAAGTATACTTCAATTTTTAAAAAAAGGTCTACATACTATTTACATGGCTTTCCTCTGCATCTTCCTTCCTCTTATCAATTGTTTTCTACTTGCCCGAAATAACCTTCCCCACTCCTCTCCACCAAAACAAAACAAAACAAAATAAAAACTGCAATTATGTCTCAATCCAACACAGACACACTTTATGAAAATATTTCTTCTCCCTTCATTACCACTCAATCTCTGTGAAAGATTGGGAATGGTATCTGATTTAGATCATGACCCACAAATATGTAAGAAAATAGGGAGCTTCAAGGCATGCAAAAGTTAAAAAAGGGAAACAAGAAAATTGAGCATAATCTCTAAGCTTATCAAGTATTTATCCTGAAGTTTACTCACTTTAATTGATCTCACTTGAACAGGAGACTACTGACTCAGAACTGTATGCATAGTTAAGTTTATTGATTGAACAAGATTGGTTGTCTGGTTTGTTGCACTTGACAGCAGATTAGAAGAAGTTTCCCTGATAGCTTAATGCATTGATCTATAACAAAGAAGTAGGAGATAAGAGAGGTGGGTCACCAATTAGAAATACATCTGTGTACTGCAAACACCCTTAAATATCTTAAACTCCTGAAGGCATTGTTCTGCAGACCCTGATACCAAAATGAATGTTAACAGTGATCATTAAGGTGCAAATACAAGGTATCTATAACTTGATATAGTTAATATTTAGAAGTACGTAAAAGGCATAATAAAAACAGAATAATAGAATCATGTACAACACTTGGGTAAATCATAATATAACTTGGTCCAGCTATGTCTTCTTCACCATTTCTGACACCTTACCTTTTCTTGAACACTTCACAACTCAGCTATTTCATTGTTGGACAGGTTCAAATTAATAGAAAGTTATTCTTCAGATGCAACTGAGGCTTGGCTGTAACAAATTAATTGAACCTAGATCATTTTCATAAAACAACTCTGGAAGTATATGCTTTCTTTTCTAAATGACACCATTTTTTAACCTTTAAATGAATTATATCTGATTTAAGAATTACATTTCATTAGTAGCATTCATTAGTTTCCAGAATGATTATTCTTTGTGCCTTCAATTGTTTCTGTTACATAATTCTGAAATTTATTTATCATCCTAGTTACCTTCTTCTGCATAAATTCTAGTATTTAGGATCCCTTTTTAAAATGTAACTAATTTAAAGTAATCTAAATATTACAGGTCTGGTTTGAAATAGGAGATATTAGCCCTTCATCTGATTAATACAGTTGTGTAAATATGAACCTTATATAGATTCTCTTGTTTCTAGTCACTTCATTTTATCAAGTAGCAAGTTCTGTCTTTTATGACAGACTCTATATTTTATTCATTTTTTTAAAGTACTTGGCGTATACTAGGCACTTGAAAATATTATTTGGGGAATCTGTGACTAAATGAACCATCTAAAGTATGCTAATTGATTTCAGTGGATTCATTCCATTATTAATTTTTTTTATCCTATTCGTGAAATTTTTAAGATAGTTTTCAAATGTTTTGAAGTTAATTATGTTCTGTGTGATCCTTAATTTGTGAAATTTAGTTTTCATCAAAATACAAATCTATGTTTGTTCTCAACAAATTTTGTGAGATTTCCAAACTACTGAGATGACATAAAACATTGGTTTCTACTTAATTTTATAAAGATAACTTGCCAGCTAGTATCTTTAGTAGTATAGAGATTCTTTCCCCATTAATCTTTTGATTTATGAAGCAAAAGTTGCATATATTTGTTAAATGTATGAATTGTCTTCCTAGTAGATTGAAGGTCCTTAAACATAGAGAATGACATCTCCATTGTGTATGTCTTAATCTCTACATAAACGTGGTCTTGTAAGCTAAACAAAATTCAATTGTATGATTTGCATATTATAGATTTATTTTCAGCAAAAGATTAATCCTTAACATATATCATACACTTAAGAATACATAATTTATACCTTCAAATAAGATAGATTATTTCAAATACAGAGGAGAGCAATTTATCCACTAATAAATATAACTGTGTGGTTAAGGTTATACTTACTGAATTAATCTTTGAAGTTTCTATTCAGCTCTATTTCTGAGTCTGAAAAAACCCAGAAATTGTTAGCAATCATTGCTATGGATTTTCTGTTAAACTGGTGTAGATTTGATAGACATTTTGCTCTAATTCTGAAGATATATGGATGAATGAATATATTGCTGTTTACTGATAAGGAAAATTCTGTATTTCTTTTTAATAAACATTTCTTTCTATGTGAAAACTTGCTCTACACACAACTTGATCTTGCTATGATAACATGTAAATTGGTTATGCTCTTGTCAGTACTTTCCTTCTTAACCAGATCTACATACTTTGGTGGAATGTTATTAATGCAACACTTTGAGACTATTAACTAAAATCTTACTACCTAACACTTAATGAAACTTTACTTTGAGAGACTGTTGTAAATGTAGGTTCAGGCTTCAGACATAGAGAAAATAGACTTCAAATTGTCTTTTAAAATACTTCAGAGAAAAGTATCCCCTGAAATCAGAGGACATTAAAGGTTTCCTGGGAAACTAAACAGGCTCCATACGGATGTGCCCAGGTTGTCTGTTATCCAATGACCTCTCTCTAATTGTGGGAGGAGCCAAGAACAAAGAAGTAAGGGAGAGAGCAGCTGGACCAGATAAGAGAGACCTGGAAAAGACAAAGCTGTTGAAAACAGAATTGAAAACCCTTGAACCAGTATGTATCTATTTTCAGGCTAAACTTCATCCTCTGTAGACATTCTTTCTGTGCCTAACCTAGGAAAAAAAAGAACAAATTTCCACCTCCATTCTCAATCTATTTTTTCCACATCCACTGTTAGGGAATAGCGGTCATAACAGCTTTTATTCTCCAAGCCATCCACAACCTGCCTTCAGTTTTTTTCATGTTGTGATTTTACAGAGTATCATTATTCTGACAAAGAAATGGCCACCCATCCACACAATCACGAATTACCTGCCATCTGCCAGAGTTCTAAGACCCTACATACCTGTATCTGTATTCATAATTTGACTTTTCTAAAATCACCATTTGGGAATCAAGGTGCATTTAATTAAACAAATGAAAAGTATAAAAATCAATTGAACAAGTAGCCGAATGACAAAGACACAATCAGATTATAAATTTTATAAGACATATAAAATTTTCTATGGGATTTCATATTGAAACATAAAATGCCTATAAAGGAATACATAATTGAGCCAAGCATTAGAGTTCAGTTGGAAGAGATGAGGAATAAAGAGACACCATCAATTATAATTCTGTTTTACCAGAGCCCAAGTTGCATATAATGAACAATTATAAGATAAAACTAGAAAAGTTGGTTTGCAGTCACATGATAGCATTTCTTAAATGCTGGGTGGAGGAGTTCTGCAGTTAACTCTGGCAGAAAATGAGCAAATATAATATGGGACATTTTCTCAGAAAAATCCCCATAATACCAGGACCTGTTGTCTAGCCCACAAAATCACATAAGGATCCCATTTCAAGTTTAGAGTGTCAGGGTATTGTCGGTGTGATTGAGGACTATTATATGGGAAGATATAAGTCCTCTGATGGTAATTATGGAAAGTTGCATATGTTATTCAGAAGACAGAGGAAATAAAACATAAAAAATATTGATAACCATATACAATGACAGCAGGAAAGGAATTTCTCCAAACATTCCAAAGTTATTCGGCAAATTAAAGATTTAAAATAAAACCAGAGGTCTGTAATAGGCAGAACTAATAAATGACAATATGCAAGTTCTCTTAAGGGGACTGATTAAGAAAAGGAATGTAGGGAGGGAGATTCAGAGGAAGATGGGGATGATTTCCTCTCTCACAGCCCCTTCCCCTCCGACATCTTTGTGTCTGGAACTCCAGGGAGCTGTGACAGAGACAGTGAGCAGAACCATCAGGTGTCAGGGTTGTCAGTTAAAGTAAACAGACAAAAATGAGAGTTAAGCCTTTAATCACTTACTTCAATGGTATAAGCATAGCAGAGATGCTTTACAGAGACTAAAACCGAAGAGAACACCAGTCTGCCTGTTCCATTTTCCCCATGGGAAAAGTACATTAGTGGAGGGTCTGGTGGGTCAGTGCAGAAGGGAGGGTCCTCTCACTGTTAAGAGAACTCAGAACAACAACAAAAACAGCTCTTTTGTGGACCCAGAAGTGGGAGGAAGGTGAAGTGAGGGAGCTAGGAGTGGAAAATAGCTGAGTACTGAGTCACAGTGGGGACAAGGGTCCAAGTTTTCCCCTCCTCCCCACTGATAAGGAGGCCTCAACAGAAGAGGCTGGAGAGGACTTCTGCTAAAAGCCTCAGATAAACAGAACCTCAGAGTGAAGGCACCTAGGCTAGGAATGCAGTCTGTGAAGCACGTGACCAGTCAGGGTCTGAGCCCTTGATTGCAATTCCTCTAGAAACTAATGCATAGTCCCCCATAAGGACTGCCAGTTAAAGTCTTTATAAATGTCTATGATCAAGCCTGAAAAATCACACCTACTGCTTAAAAAAAATCAATCATTCTGCTTAAAAAGTCTTCACTGTGTTATGCAATGAAGGGGATGATATACTTTTATCAAGTTAATCAAAGTTAGGGCACCTCCATGGACTCTTTCAAACACCTGCTGTCTTCTTTTCTAACGAACCAGCCCAGCTGCCCAGTCAATGGTTTAAATTTCCTTCTTTAAACAACCACGTGCACACACACATACACAAAACCGCACCACTAACCACCTCACTCTTTCCTCCTGCCCATTTCTTCCTCCCACTTCTCAAAGTACAAGGATTTGAATAGAA